AATGCTCACAGAGAACAGAGGGTGCCTTTGCAATGCAGCCACGCAAAAAAAAAAAGGGACAGGGAGATGATTGGTAAATTGTGCAACAGCTGCAAAAGCAAACAGACATTATTATGAATGTGAGAGACTAATCACTCTTCTACACACAAACACACAAACAGGAACACATGTGCCCAGCAAGGCCCGGCAGATGGTCTCCGCCCCCATTTCCATACACACTCTCTCTCCGTCTCGTCCCTCAGCAATCTCCCACCTCATTCTTCCTCTGCCTTGCGCTCTATCTCTCTCTCCCAGAGGGTCATGCACCAGTGCACAACACGCACACATGACCTAGGACATTCACTACCCTCTTGTTTGCATTCAAGCAATAACCAACTTCCACTACGAGCATGCAAACAGAGCAGACAAAAGGATGTGATCATTTAGAGTCATGGCCCATGACAAGCGCAATAGCCCTGGCCTTTACCTGCCTGTCAATGCTTACTGAAGGGTTTGAAAACTCATCAGGACTTGATGACATGACCAATCTCTCATTTCAGCGACTCGCTGAGGGCTGCGAGATGGGAAGTGGATGGAATAAATGAAGCGCTACACAAAGAGCCAAGGATATAGATTTCAATGCCATGCAACAATACAAATTAAACTTTCTGGTTAGCTTTTAATGCATGTTGATTGAAAAGATCAGAGATTAGCTCTAAAAACAAAACACACACACACAAAACTACAGCGTCTATGGCGGGGGTGGTTTTCAAATTGAAGGTTAAATGTTAAATTCACTGTCTTTGTTTGAACATGCTTATATCGTTCTCTGCATATTTGCCCTTTCAGAAACCTCCCCCAGCACAATAAAAGGACAGGTTCACTCTCAGACCTGAGCTCTTAATCATCTCCAATTTATTTTTGACACTTAGAATACTTTTGAAAATCAGCATCAATCACTTCATGTGTCATGCTAACCTGGGGAAAAAAACGGCAATTGATTTCCAACGCTATTTCAAAAATGAAATAATGAAATTAACCATAATTTGATTTGGCGGAATGTCTGAATTTAAATGAAATCTGAACACCACTCTTTTGATGAGACTTAGGACTGAGGGGAGAAAAATAATATAAACACTGAAGCCAAAAGAGCCATTAAAGAAATAAAGCAGCACTTTTTAAATTGACTCAAGCCTTGCTTTTGAATGGGTAGTTGACACATAACAAGACCTTTTTCAAGAAGATTTTCTCAAATGCTTCATGAATGTACGAGTGTATCTAAGGTTCTGTAACAGGTAACCTGTTTGGTTTTTAAGTGTTTTTTTAATTATTATTATTCATTTAAAAAGCCCTACAAACTACAAACATTCCATGTAGTCTTTCAAAAGAACAAAAAGTTACAAAAGCCGAAAAAAAACGTTCATCACAATAAAAAAAAAAAAAAAGATTAATTTAGAAGTATATTTTAATTTTAAAAGGGTCTTTCAATTTAGTATACCATTTATAGCATTTATTTATAGTATTTAGTATAGCATTTCACCTCTCTAGCAGTACTGTACATAATTACAGTCAAAAAGTGTACAGAAAAAAAATTAATGATGCTGCATTGATATCTAGTGTTTACATACATACATACATACACACACACCAGCTCCATAGACTAGCCCCTAAACGGAGTGTTTTGCGTCATACTACACAAAAATACACCTCTACAAAACGTCGCCTGGTCTGAATCACGGTTTTTATTTTTATTACTTTGATGCATGAGCCTTTTGAGAAAGAAACAGTGAAAAGCAAAAGTGTCCAGGAGGCGTGATGGTGTATGGGTGCGCTGGGTACTTAAATAAATGAACAGCACTGAGCAGATGTAATGGAAAGGAAAGAGAGAGGAGAAGTTACGCATAGTCAGCACAGATGGGAGCAGCGAAGAGAGAGAGAGAGAGGAGTGAGATGGGGGCCATAAAATATCTGCTGAAAGAAAGCTAGAGCCATGTGACTTTGGGCTGGATTGATTTGAGCCGTGAAGACCAGGCGACCACACCTCCCACACCACCCACTCCAGGTCAGGCTGGGGTCCTGCGGCAGGAGGGAGATAGGAGCGGGTGCAGGACGCCCCCGGCTTTAAGGGTCAGGTAAGGTCTATCTGGCAGCTGCTTAATCCTGCCCCGCTACTGACACAAGCACTGTACAAAACGCCCTAGTCCTGAGGGTGAACGCAAACAAATAGCGTTAGTAAAATGTGCAGGGAAAAGCACACATATACGTAGGGATAACATATGCTATATATGCACTGACTGCTGGGTCTTTTAACAGAAGCAAATAATTAAACGTCTCTGTTCGAGATGAAGCTGTTGCTAAGAGACGCTCCAGTTTTATTAAGTAATTATTTGCATTGATGAAAATAATTCTGCCACTGGATACAAACAATCCATAAGAACTCCAGCTTACAGGTCCTGCTGATACACAATAAAACATAAGCTATTCCTAGACAACACCGTTCCGCATGCCATGTACACGTGACACCACATGTAAAGAAAGCAAATCGAGAAAACAAAAATAAAGTCGCGTCGTCTGTGCCTAGTCCTGAATGAGACTCCAGCTGTAGTGAGATGTATTCAAAATGTCTTGCATCTCAGCTATAAATAGTCGCAAAGACCCAGATTCCCAGTTCACTCAGCACACGTGAACGCGCACACACACTCACACACGGAAAAACAGAAATGCTTGTGCAGGCACATAAATATTTGAGAAACAGAAAACTAAAAGTCAAGTAAATCAACCTCTATGTCACCATGATCTTAGAACACCAATCCCGGCTAAAAGAAAAGAAAAAGGATTTTGCCAAATACAAACTCGGACTAAAAAAATAAAACAAAATGACTGATATAGAAACAAAGCAACTTTCATGATAACAAGAAAAATGATTAAAATGACAGTTAATCTTCACTTCATGCAACCTGGTACTGAAGCATCATACATTTAAAGTAGCATCTGTTCTCCCATAGAAATGAATGACTGATATACTCTGGCTTGATTAGAGAAATAAAACCTGTCTCTTTGTTAGAAAAAAATATATTTATCACTCAGAAGTATTTGCAATTAAACTGACATGGAATGCAATTTCTATTGGATAAGACAAAGGTTAGAGATGTCACTGAAGGTTAATGGTGGCTCGGTGCGACAGATGAAAGTTAAATGAGATCACTGATCTCAGTCACGTCGAGTCTGGAGAGAGACATGCACTGGCACATAGGATCTGATGACTGATCAATACCATAGATTCACTTTTGATTTGATAAATCCCCTTGAATTGTCATGACTCTAGGAGCCGACTCACTGTTTGGAAAAGGCACTGATGACAATCAAGTGTATCAGATAATCAGGGGATGAAAAGACGCCCAAGGGTGCAGTCTAGCACATTAATGACTCTAAATTAAAAATCTTTTTTTTTTATTGTGCAATAAGTTAATCATAAAAGAGATTTAAATATAATCTAATAAGAGTAATTATTTAAAAAAACACACACATCAAAAAATCGAGAACTAAAGCAAGAACAACGCATTAAACAGACACATGCACACACAATATGCTGAGCACATGAGGATATCATGTAGCAAAGTCATAAGTCGCAAGGGTGCAGTCTAGCACATTAATGACTCTAAATTAAAAATCTTTTTTTTTTTATTGTGCAATAAGTTAATCATAAAAGAGATTTAAATATAATCTAATAAGAGTAATTATTTAAAAAAACACACACATCAAAAAATCGAGAACTAAAGCAAGAACAACGCATTAAACAGACACATGCACACACAATATTCTGAGCACATGAGGATATCATGTAGCAAAGTCATAAGTCAGCAGAATTGTTTATCACATGAAGTGTTTTACCTCTACAAGAAGTGGAAAATCAGCTCACACTCTTTCAAACAACCTTAGGATGCATAGTTATATATAGACTACTTTTAAGGCTTATTCAAAACAGATGACATGTCAGATTATTTATTTAAATTGATCATGTGCAAACTTAAATAGCGACAGATGATTAACAAAAGATGCACGACCAAAACGCCAACACACTAGTAGACAAAATCACTCTCTTACCAAACTGTCCAATTTCATCTGTGTTCCACTTACACTTGTGGCACACCCACACTCACACACGCTGTTTGTGGCAAGCCGCTTGAACATTTATTCCTTACTAACGTATCTATTTTTCAAGTTACTAGCACTTGTTTATTTAATTATCAGTAAGTAACCCAACAGCAACTATAGTAACATTTGAAGTTTCACAAGTTTACAAATTCATTAGATTCTATAATATCTCTAATAGTGACTTGTATGCATTCCTGGGGCCAGTTGCATAAACAGCTGCTAAGTTAAGACTGTCTTAAGAACTAGTTTGACCAACTAGCAGTTAACGTAATCAGTCATACTTTTCAGATTTAAATCACACCAATCTACCATGTTGTAACCGAATTAAAAAAGTTAATGACCTGTCTTGAAAAAAAAGATTACTAATTTATTAAAACGAATCTAAGAAGTTTATGCAACTGGCCCCAGATTTACTAGTCTTTTTTAGTTACTAGCACCTGCTTATCAGAAACTATCCCAATTGTTATGCCCAACATATCTTACCTCAACAGTAACAGTTGCTTTTCACTTGTCTTACATAATGACTAGCCCAAACAGCTACGTTACAGTTCAATTAAACTTGCTAGTAACAACTGAAATGTAATACTGTCTAAACCGTACCAGTGCTTGGAATATACACTACTTGAATAGTTACTATTGAGATAACTAGTGGCAAAGGATGTACTAGAGCCTAATGAAGTAGCAGCTAGCGACTAGCTTACCAGAATAAGTACAGCCATCTAACGAATTGTTACTAGTGAAACTGAAAAACATTAAAGCCACTATACCTTAGTAATAACTATGCATGCTAAAACGGCTTGCCATAAACCGCGTTTCGCACATTCGCACTGGATTCCGCGGGCTCGGAGAGGAGCTCACTCACTCACCTGCTGTAAGTACATGAAAGTCAAGGCACAGGAGAGCTGAGGACACATGTCCACGTTTGGCAGGGCGACGCACGTTCCGCCCGTCAGGGGATGCTGCATCGTGCTTGCGTCCGCTCGTCCTGTCCTGTCCGCCGAGTTTCACGGGGTTTTAAAGACTGCTTTGGCAGGGTCGGTTGCTGTTATGAAGCCTTGAAGCAGCCAGCGGAGTGTGCGCAAACGCGGCTGGATAACCGGCTACGAGCGTATGTGGATGTTTGAGCGCGAGCGTCCCGTTGGTGAGCAAAAACACAGCGCGCGTCTTTTCTTGTCCGTGATGATTTGAGTAAAGCCCTTGTAAATATGCACGAAACTCTATTCAGTCCGTTTCTGGCGCTTGTAAATAAGCTCAATCACGGGCAAGATATAAGAGAGTTGGTGACTGGACGTAGTGAAGTTGAAGCGGGTGTGATTTTCCATTCGCTGTCAGAGGAGTCCGGGCGCACCGTCTGTTTCATTGAGTAGCATCTGAATCTCCGAGGCGAAGTGATGCGGGGCGGGGGCCAATCCTAAATCACACATTCATGTTTACCGGGGGTGGGGGAATCTCTTTATTTTTTCTCTTGCGTGAAACTGAATTGTCCTTATAATTTATTATTATGGCGCCACATAAAGCGCGCATATAAATGAACCTCTCAGCACGTAAACAAACCTCCATCACATTTGTGTTCCATTAAAATCATTTCATATCAGCCTGTAATGCTTTGTGCTGTAAGGAAGACCTGTCCAACCTAATACCTTTACCGAATTTATATCACTTATAACACTAGGCTATTTACTATTCCACTGTTAAACAAATTAAAAGATTTTACTGTGGATAATCACTGGGTGAAGCTTCTCTTATAGCACTTTGAGTAAAACATTTATTTTTATTTTGTGTAGTGTAACAGTAACAGTTTAACCCTTTAATGGGTAGTACTTTTTTAAAAATAATTATTATTATTATGAGCCCCTAACAAGTTGAGTTATCCATAAAGGTTGCATTTAAATTTGTAATTCTGTATTGACACAAATCATGTAAATCATATAGTGGTGCTCACCAGTATAAAAACAGATGTATAAAAATATCTGTACAAAAGCCAGCATACAAAAAAAGAAAAATGCATGACAATCTCTGTAAAACTTTAGATGTTTACATACTGTATGTGCTTTACATTTACCATGGTAACCATATGTTCTGTGAAAATGTGATATGTATGGAAATGTTATAAGGACTGTTGTAACTATGGTAATTTGCTATTAGACCACTGTTATCAAAAATATGTTTGACATGTAAAATATTGAAAAGAAAAATAAATCACTGACATCGATGCAGAACTGAAAGTGCACTCCTAGAACCATCTGAACCATTTGGTTCATGATTTCCAATAGTAAAAAAAAAAAAAAGATACTTGGCTATTTTACAATGTAGTTGATCCAGAAGCCCTCTGAAGCTACTGCATCAAAAATATGCTTGTCTTTGAGGATAAAACACACACACACACACACACACACACACACACACACACACACACACAAACAACACACACATAATCCCTCATTATGATTGATTTTCAATGCGTATATCCTGAAACAATGTTGGAGAAAACTGTATTTTTGTGTACAGCATGAAATTTAAAAAATATATAAATACAATTTTATTTTATTTTGAACTAATCATTTGACAAATTTGCTGATAGTCTTATTAAAATACAAAGAAATCAAATTACTTTGGATGAGCCAATATCAGTAACTATTTGTTAAAAAGGAAGCCTTACACAAAAATGAAGAAAAAAAAGGTTCACTAAGCAAACTGAGACAGCGGCATATAAGGGCAACACAAGAGAGTAACTGCTTATCTGAATCATAAAAGAACATTTGTGTGCACACTAGGCCAAATGTGAGGTTCTAAATAATTAATTAAAGCACACACAAATGTTTGAATTTATTGTTCATCACGCTTCTTTTAAACCACTCTGGCCCTTATCTCCCTATCAGCAGCAAGGCCTTTATTGTAGATTCATTAACAGCTGTTAAATGTTAAATACAACTGATATTCAACCGATGGGCCGACCAAGGTCTAAGCAGAAAGTGCAAAGATATACAGTAGGGGGGAAAAGAATTTGAATTATGCATGTTCTTTCTCTTTAATCTTTTTCCCTCCCTCTTTGTGCCACGTTACAACCTAAGGTGACTCGCAAATACATAACAAGATTTCATATCCTTGTTACTTTAAAAGAGCAGAGTCATAAAAATCAATGTTTTTCTATGTTGCACGAGGGGCCGTAATTAAAAAGGGCTTCTGAAAAGCCGGCAGACATGTATTATGGAGAGGGCAGCAGACTGCTTTGCTCCATTTTACTCTTTTTCTTCTTCACCCCACTCATAGCCTGAAGGCAAGACTAGTTCTTCCCCCTACCCATCCATAGACGTCTTCTTGGCCTTTCCTCCTGCATTCCTCCATTTATTTTCCCTGTCTTGATGCTACAGAGTACAAAATATTAACTGGACCGTCAACCAGTGCATCTTTTTTTTTTTTTTAAGAAATAAAAGAGCATTCGGCCAGCGTTTCATCGCAGATAGTAGTGTTTATTTTGCTGCGTGTCACTGTGCCTTTGACATGTGATGAGGCATGGCTGCCCTTTGCAATGCGTCTGTTGTCTTCGCCTTTACTGAATAAATAAGCAGGGACTGCATATTGAGAGAGAGAAACCTCGTTTATCTCTTTGTTTGTCAGTGATGGCTCTCTCTCAGATTTCTTGTGTACATTGTGTTATTGGTCTGTCTGTGATGGGCAGAAAGAGGGGGGAGGGAAGCAACAACGTTTCTAAAGCTTGTATGCTTTTTCTTTTGCACTGTATGGTACCGGACAACAGCCTAATGTCAAATTCATTCAAAGAATAGCACGATTCTATTAAAAATGAAATGAGCGAAAGCTCTGATCTTTGCCATGCTGAAAACTGGTGAAGTTTTTGGGTTACTTAGATAACAGTTTACTACATATTTCTACATCAGATCTTTTGGCATCAAAACAAAACAAAAACAAGTAATTGGATTCATAATGTCTGCAATAAAATGAAAACGACTGTTTATCCCCCCAAAAAAATTCTGTCATTATTTACTCGTGGTTGTTCAAAACCTGTATGCCCTTTTCTTCTAAGGAACATAAAGAAGGTATTTTGAATAATGTTTCAACTGTAGATTGCCTAAACAATGAAATGCAGTGAAATTGCATAAAAAATAAGAAACAACCAAACACTGAGACATTTTTCAAAATACCTCGTCATAGAGATTTGGAGTGATATGAGTGTTACTAAATAAATATAGAATGTTTGATTTGGGCGAACTGTCTCTTTAAGACATATTTCTTAGTGAAACGGAATACAGTATTAAGTCATGTTGGGCGGGACTTCCCAGTATCCATTGGGGTTTGTTGGAAGTGTGTCAAGTGAGCCATGATATTATTGGCGAATATTATTTTCCCCACCCGCACAGCCTTGGTTACATCAGCAGAGGTGGAGAAAGTTATTAAATTTTTGATGGAAGTGATACTTTTTCCACCCTTACATTAACATGCACAGAATAACGTACAATAAGACCAGGAACAATTCGAGAAAGTAAATAAATACAGCTTTAGTTAGATAGAACATTTTGGACAAGACCAAAACAACAACAACAAAAATGTCCCTTTTCCACTTAGATGGACCTGAACATACAGTATTACCTCTGTTAAACGTTTTCCACAATCAGTGCTTTTATATAACCGCACAACAACAATAACGACCCAGAATAAGGAAGAAACCATTTAAGGTGAGAAGAAAATGTAATCATACCCTGAGCTGGAAAACAGTTCATGGCTATTTCAAGCTTTTACTGTTTAGATTGAATTTCACAGACATTTTATAGCTTCAGTAACTGACAGAAAAAGTGAGCTTGGTGTAATAACTGTTATTGTGTGCCATGGTTCACGTCAACACTAATGAGAAGGGCCTGCTACATATGCACCTGAAAAGGGAAAAAAAATCCTTGTCAGTGGCTAATCCTTAATACTTATTTTGCTTTGCCGTTGCTCATTTGCAATACATGCTTGATGCTCTGTTGTGGCGTTATCAGTTAGATATGACAAACACGAATACAAATCCCTCCCCATGAATTGTGTTTCTAAAAGCAGCCTGCTTCCCACCACACCACAACAAATTGACTCTCCTGTTAAAAGGCAACATGGTTGGTTGTTTCCATTATGTTTTTTTAATTATTAATGACAAGCTCTCGAAGGCGCACCAACAGGAAAACAAAGTCAAAGATGGAGATGTGTTTTGCTAAACAACAAGGCGGCACGTACTTGCGACATTTTCTATCAAAACGACAACTAATATCACCTTGTCGTCCCACATAGAGGGCAAAACACAAAAGAAAATCCACACACATATGACAAACAACACATCCCTCAGATGTTTGTGTCAAACCACGGCAGCTTTTGGAGGTGCGACGCAACTTTTGGCCTGTTTAGATCCCTCCGAGTGTATGAGTAAATGAGCTGTGGCAGTGCTTGCCACATTGTCATTTAGGATCAGGTTGGGTGTATTTCAGTAGCAGGGTGCGGAGCTACAGGCCCGGGCTCCATTTCAGCCTGTGCACCCGCTGTGAGCATCACCATCGCTGACAGACTAATAAGGAAGGACTGGCTGCCTTCACCCCGTGTCAGGAAGTTGACAGGACTGCAGCAGGTGCTGAACGTGTAGGGAAGATTGATGAAGTCACATGGAGGTGGATTGCAGGGAGCCGGTTTGGTCATTGTTAGTGTTATTTTTCATTATGATCCCGGCTTGCTTAATGTAAATCCTAAGTCAGGATGATGGCTAACATCCTCAGCCACAGCGTGATGGGTTTTGTGCAGAAAAATCAGCCATTATCTAGCCGGGCTGAGCGGGAATCGATGAGCCAGGCGTTCGGGCTGTGATGGCTGTGACTCATTGTAAATTGTAGTTTGTTTCTCCTGGTTGGTGGAGAATGCAGGCAACTTCTCCAATCATTTCCAATAGGAAAATAAAATAAAAAACCGCCACAACCGAATAGGAGCGATAGATTTTCTCCATTCGGGGCTGGAAATAGAGCGCGGGACCGCGGCGGGCACGAAGTCTGGCGCGGTCACGGACTGCATAGGAATTCAAACCGTCCGTCTCCTGATATGTGACACTTTTCCAAACGCCACAGACGGCTGCATCAGCGCCGATCAGCGCCGGGAGGCTAATCAGAGATTCCTTGCCGCTCTTTTATTTTGCACATCGCACAATTTGGAAAAGTCAGTTTACATGACAGTAATTACAGAAACAGATGGGGCTCCGGCAAAAATTCGGCGGCGCAGAGACAATGGGCCCAACGCATGGGGGACTTTCGGGGGCAATGAGGAGTGCAGGCAGATTGCATGGCAGCTGAGACTGCCTTTCATTAGCACTTGAGTGTGCGTCTGGAAGCAACAGAAATGCGAGTCGTT